TTTTCAATAATTGTTCACAGCTTTCATATATATAAATTCACAAATAAGAAACGTTTGATCATGCCACAGTTACTCAAAATTCAATTAGGAAATTGTAGATTTGCTAAAGAGTATCTTATCTCTGTTAGAAAGCATGGAAGCTAGTCCTGGCTCAGACACTTTTCTAGATATGTAAAGTTGAGCAAGTCAATTAACTTCTGTAATTCAGTATTTTCGCCTGTAAACTGGTATAACAATGTTCACTTTACCCAGCTCTTAGATTTTGAAGATCAAGCATGATGTGTAAAACTGTTCTACAAGGGAAAGTAGGGGGTTATTTCCAATGATCCTTTCTCTGGAAAGCACAGACTTTGGAGTTAGATTACTGTCTTGATCTTCCATTATGCCAACACTCAGAACTGCCTGGCACATAATGTTGCTGTTGATAGGTGCTGTCCAGTCAGTAGACTCATAGTGACCTTATGCACAACAACCTTACAATCATTGCTACACTTGAACCTTTTATTGCTGCCACTGTGCCAATCCATTTCATTGGTGGTCCTTTTTTTCCATGTCCTTCTCCAGGAACTGGTCCCTCCTGATAATACATTTGAAGTATAAGAGAGCAAGTCTCACCATCCTGGCATCTAAGGAGCATTCTGGATGTACTTCTTCCAACACAGATTTGTTTGTTCGTCAATCCATGATACTTGTAATATTCTCCTCCAGCACCATAACTCAAATGCATCAATTCTTCTATGGTCTTTTTTATTCATTGTCCAACTTTCACATGCATATGAGATTACTGAAAATACCTTGGCTTGGGTCAGGCGCACTTTAGTCCTCAAACTGGTACCTTTGTTCTTCAACACTTTCAGCAGATTTGCCTAATGCAATACATTAATTTTATTTCTTGGCTGCTGCTTCCATGAGTGTTGGTGGTTGATTCAAGCAAAATGAAGTCTTTGACAACTTCAATCTTTTCTCCATTTATATGGATGCTGTTTATTGGTCCAGTGGTGAGGATTTTTGTTTTCTTTACATTGAAGTGCAACCCATACGGAGGCTGTGGTCTTTGATCTTCACCAATATTTTAAGTTCTCTTAGCTTTATCATTTGCATATCATAGATTGTTAATGAGTCTTTCTCCAGAATGCCACATTCTTCTTCATATAATCCAGCTTCTTGAATGATTTGCTCAGCATACAGACTGAATAAGTATGGTCAAAAAACAGAACCCTGGTGCACATCTTTCCTAATTTTAAGCCTTTCAGTGTTCCTTTGTTCACTCTTAGTCTATGTACAGGTTCCTCATGAGCATAATTAAGTGTTCTGGAGTACTCATTCTCCACAATGTTGTCTATTGTTTGTCATGATCCACATAATCGAAAGCCTTTGCTTAGTAAAGTCCAGGTAAAACATCTTTCTGGTATTCTCTGCTTTCAGCCAAGATCCATTTGACATCAGCAATGATAGCCCTTGTTCCACGTGCTCTGACAGCGGCCTGTCAAAATACTGCTGCAGGCCATTTTTGAACTATTGTTAGCAAAAGTTTATTTGCATGTGATATGGATATTGTTCAATGATTTTCACATACCCTTGGGTCACTCACCTCTCTTTGGAATGGATACAAATACAGATCTCTTCCAATCAGTTGGCCAGATCTTCCCAATTTCTCAGCATACATGAGTTTGTTGAAATATTTCTATTTGTATTCCATCAATTCCCGGTGCCTTGTTCTTTGCCAATGCCTTCAGTTCATGTTGGACTTCTTCCTTCAGTATCATTGGCTGTTAATCATATGCTACCTCTTGAAATTGTTGAACATTGATCATTTCTTTTTTGATAAAGTGACTCTGAGTAGTCCTTCCATCTTTTTTTAAGTTTTTATTGTGAATTGAGTGATAGTTTACATGGGAGAACATCGGTTTTACACTCATCATTTCATTGCAATGATTACAATCTCCTCTGTGCATCGTCATTCAACAGTCTTTTCTTTTATTCCATTTTATTTGGTGGAGGGGGGAGGAATGTACAGAAAAGCACTCAGGAATATATAATCATTTAAACAAAAGGGAACATTCTGCAATCCTGCCTCCTGGTCGCCTGCACACAGCCTTTCTCTTTCCAGGAGTCTAGAGTCCTCAGCTGCTCCCTCTCTCCATGTCCTCATCTCTGCCTCCATCTCTGGTGTTGCTGCTTCTCTCTTGCCATCTTCGGATACTTTCTGCATCATTCAATATTTTGCCTGTGTTGCTGTTGCTAAGTGTTGTTGAGTCAGTTCTGACCCATAGCAACCCTGTGTAGGGTTTTCAAGGAGCAGTTAGTGGGTTTGAACTGCCAACCTTGTGAAGTTCATTGTTGTTGTGAAATGCCATTGAGTGGGTTCCAACCCATAGCGACCCTGCATAGCATTTCCAAGGAGCAGCTGGTGAACTTGAGCCACCAACCTTGCAGTTCCAACAGTCTGGCACATTAACCCACAGAGCCACACCTGGACTCCAAATAGACTCCTTCAACATTGCAATTGAGACTTGAATTTTTTCTTGTTCCCTCAGCTTGAGAAATGCTGAGCGTGTTCTTTCCTTTTGGGTTTCTAACTCCAGATTTTGCACATTTCATTATATTTTACTTTGTCTTCTGGAGCTGACCTTTGAAATTTTCTACTGAGCTCTTTTACCTCCTCATTAATTCCATTTGATTTAGCATTTCTACACTGGAGAGCATATCTGATGACTGATAAATATTGGTCTAATAAGGAGCTCTGGTGATGCTGTGGATTATGCATTGGACTAACAGCAGGGTGCAAATCTACCAGTTACTCCTTGGGAAAAGAATGAAGCTGTCTGCTCTGTGAAGATTTAGTTTCCAAAACCCTATATAGGATCTTTCCGGCATCCTGGTGTGGCGCTGTGGGTTAATGAGCCAGACTGCAAAGCCGTTTGAACTGCAAGGTCTGCGATTCAAGATCACCAGCCGCTCCTCGGAAACCCTAGTCAGAAATGACTCGATGGCACATAACAACATATAGGGTCTCTATGTGTCAGAACCAACTCAATGGCAGTGGGGCTGAGGATGGTTACCCCATTACATATAAAAAACACATATATTTTAATCTCACAAACCCCCCTTCCCTACTTTTCAAATCTGGCTTTAAACAGAGTAGTTGTTAAAATTATGTCAGAGAGAAATTAGGTTAGGCAGAAGATGCATTTTAATAGCTCAAGCTGCCTGTCTCTTGCCTGGACTAGATTAATGACCTTCTTACTGGTCTTTTTACTTCTACTCTTTCTTTCATTCTATACCCAGCAGCAAGATTGTTTTTTTTTAAAACATAAATCATGTTTCTCCCCATTCCAAAGCTCTCTGGTTTCCTATTTTACATAGCCAATACCACTGTGGTGCCGTTCTCTTGGGCTCTCACACTGTTGTGGACACACTTGCCTTGAGAGGAGCTGGTTGGTCCCTTTGACTGAAAACCTCTTCCTGAGTTTCACACAGGGGTCTTATTCCGATCTCAACCTCACCTTCTAAAGCAGCCTTTGCTGATCATTTTAGGCCATGCTCGCTCAGTTCTGTCCCGCACAAACTTCCTTGACATTTTGTATCAGTTGTCTGTCTGTCTCCCCGTTATCCCAACACTCAGAACCACCTGACAGGTAACAGCGACTGATAAATACTGGTTTAATAATGACCAATGTTACCTCACTCTATTATCCCTCTCCTTAAACAGACTTTGTGGTTGTAAACCCAGCGTGGAGTCCTGGATGTATAAGTCCTTGTACAAGTGCTTCTGCTTTTCCTAATCTGGGATCTTTTATCAAAGAAAGAACGTTACCTGCCCTACTTATCTTGTGAGCCTTGAGGACTGTTAATGGATGTGATTGCTAGAAATACTCCCTCATTTCAAAACTGAAGGGAGCCCAAAACATCTAAGTGGTAGTAAATGAAGGTATATGCCCACTGCATCTAGCTGTAAAGCACAAACATGAATATGTAAATGTATTGATCTTACACAGATTAAGTACCAAAGCACTTTTCACCAGAGGAATAGGTGAACACTGGAAAGCTGGTTTTCCTTCTTTTGCACACCCTCTCTCTCACTTTTCAGTGGTATGTCTTAAGCATTTAAATGAGCTTGCTGCAGCCTTATCTGTTGTTGGTAAGTGCTGCTGAATCGATTCCGACCCATAGCAACCCTGTATAGGGTTTCCAAGAAGCAGCTGGTAAGCTTGAACCAAATTTGCAGTTCAAACGACTTTGCAGTCTGACGCATTAGCCCACAGCAGCCACCAGGACTCTGCAGCTTTGTCTACACAATGGTTTTCAGTCCTTTCCTATATTCTACATTATATGAAATGCCTTCAAGCATCCAACAACTGTAACAGCAGTATTGATTATAATCTTATGTCTTCTACTATTCTTAAACCACAGATAAACTTCCATAATGGCCACAGAATGACTTCACAATGTAATAGATATGAATGACTTTCATAAGCATAGTGATACAGCATGTAACCTCTAGAGTTTGGCACCCTATGTGGGAATTCCAACTGTTTTTACTCTGACCAATTACTCAACTATTCTGACTACAGTTCCCCACTTGAAATCCAGGGCTTAAAACCCATCTTACAAGGTTGTTGGGAGGATTCATTGATCCACACAGTAAATGCTCAGCAGTGACTAATCTTCCTTCAGAATTCTGCCTCACCCTGCAATCTGAATCTTACATCAATAAAACATCTGCTTCCTCAGACACATTTTATATTTATCACCCAATAATTGAAACACCTGAGTTACTAGAGGTATGAAAAACACAAAATCTATTTTAGCATAAAATCCAAAGTATAAGAAGCAGAAAACCTGGGAAAAAAATAAAAAGGACTACCCCCAACTTCCACTCATTTATTTAACTTGTCATTATATTCCATTTGAGGCAGCATAATCTTTATTTCAAAATAGCACTTTTATTATATAAAAATGTAAAAATCCAGCAAAACCAGAAATACGGATATATTTTCCTGGGATTTCACATTTGTTGATTTTTATTCATAATCTCTTTTTCAATACAATTTACAACTTTATTCCCATTCCCAACCTGATTATACAAGGTGCTAAGTGGCAGAAAGGTCTGGAATAAATACATCCAAAAAAGGGCAAAGCTGTGACGCTAAGTGCATGCAATGAGTCCTATGAGGGTGAGGGGAAAGTGTGTTGGAAATAAAATAGAGTAAGACAAGGTAACTGGAAGGTTTTAGCTTAAGTTCGTTCAATCATCCTTGTCTTTTGCTCCATGTTTAAGGATGCGCGTGAACTCAATGTAATTGAAATTCCCCTTTTTGTCAATAGGTGCTTCTCTGTACAGCTCATCTACTTCCTCCTCCGTAAACCGATCTCCCATGGTAGTCAGCAGCTCCCGCAGGTAATCTTCCTGAATGGTGCCTGGAAGGTAACAGAAAGCAGGAACTACTTTCCGAGCACTTTGCCAGTTCATTTCTAAAGCAGGGCAGCCTTACATAGTATTTCAGAACATTTATATTGATAGGAACAAAAAAAAAGCCAACTAAGGCAACACATCACTGTATCATTTCCTAATGACTTCTAGAGCCCTTTATTAATACTAGATTAGCTCTGTAAGCTTTATCACTAAACTTTTTTAAAAAAGCAACTGTTTTTCTAGAGGAAAAAACCCTTCCTGGTGTGGCACTGTAGGATAAGCACTGGACTGCAAACCACAAGGTTACTCAAGGTTAATGGTTCAAACCCACCAGCTGCTCCTCAGAAACCCTATACAGGGTCACTATGAGTTGGAACCTACTAGTCTGCAATTAACAGCAACTCCTTTCTTTTTCTTTTTTTAAGTGCTGTATGAAGAGGCTTCAAAAAGTTCACAGAGAAAATAGAATTGGAAGATAAGGTCTTTTTCCACAAACTTTCTGAAGCCCCTCATATTGTTTTAATAATTAGAAAACCTAAAACAAAACATGCATGATCCTCCCACCCTGAACTTCACTTGTTCACCTGGCTCTACTTACCATCCGCTCTAAGAATATAGTGGTGAAGAATGCAACCACGACACCTGAATGGTCAACAATTGGAGTCTACTAGTTGCTCCGGGAGTGAAAGAAGAGACTTTCTGCTCCTATAAAGCGTCTGAAACCCTACCCACTAAGGTCACTACTGAATCAGCACTGATTTGACAGCACACAGCCACCACCAACCCCTCCAAGAAAGCACATTGTCAACACTCCGAATGCTGGGTCTCCAGGACAGAGACCAGTTTGCTAGGACCTCACCAAACAAAGAGACAATATTTAAAGAGTCACAAAGAGTAAGTCTACCATGTGCTGAAACAGATGCAAATCTGAAACTCCTATTTTAATCCATGTGTCTATAATGATACTAAAAGCAAAGAAACAAGCAAAGTCTTATATCATTTTTGGAGTCTGGTAGCTGCCAATACAGTATTCTGAAAACTAGTGCAAAAGTGACAGAATTGAGCACTTATCGTGTCTTTTCTATACAAATTGTAGCTGATGAAGAACGTTTTTATAGAAGAATTGCAGCCAGTAAAAGAAGAAGAAATTATAGGAATAAATATCCCCATTTTGCAGCCCTTGTGAAGTAATGCCTGGACACTTGAAATCTGGCCCATGCAAACTGAGCTATGCAGCAGACAACACACACACCAGACTTTGAAGATATAATATTAAAAGAAAGATTGTAAAATATATCATTAATTTCATTGTTGATTATATGTGAAAATGATATTTGGATGTAATGGATTTAAATAAAATATATTATTAAAACTGAAAAATGGCTTTTAGACTGATTAAAATACAGAAAGCTCATACTATAAACAACAACAATCCCTACTTTATCTGATATATACGAAAAGTTATCATTTTAAGTAGATTTTACCTTACGAGACTGATTACTTTTAGACTTACATCCCACCTCAAATCACTGAGAACCCCAAATTCTAAGAATTCCTGAGTAGATAATTCAATAAGTATTGAGAAAGACTTCTGTAAAATAAAAATGTTACATTGAAAGTCAGCAAACATAGTTAGTTTAGAATAAGTAGCTGCCAACAGCATGTGATAAGTGTCTGTAGAATAGGAAGTAAAGTGAAATGATACCAGCTGGCAGTATTATCTAGAAATTAGAGTTGATAATTCTGAAAACAAGGTTAAAGACTTCATACAACACAGTATTTAAAAACAAGTCTGAAAGACAGCTCTGACAAGCATGGCACATTTTAGTTAGTAATATCAACTTCTGTATTTACTTTATGATTAATTCAAACTGGCTCAGAAATAGGAACAGTCAACAGTAAAGTTAATAATTCAACAAGCTTAACTTTAAACTCAATTTATACTATAAGGAAAATAAGCATTGCTGTTGTTAGTAGCCATTGCAGTGATTCGGACTCCTGGCAGGGCCTTGTGTGCAGAGTAAGTCTGCCCCATAGCTCTCAAGGCTGTTACTTTTCAGAAGCAGATCTTTTGGCTTTATCTTTGGAGGTTTCTTTGGGTAGGCTGGACCTGCCAATCTTATGGCTAGTAGTTGAATGCCTAACCATTTTTGACACTCAGGGATTCATAAAAAAGCCAGTATACATAATATTATTTATATTTTTATTAAAATTTTATTCTAAATGACATCTTTTGAAAAGACATGACAAATTTTTAAATATGATTATTTGAATATTTTGGTACAAATCCTTGAGAATATTAATTTATTCATATAATAAATATTTATTTAGGGAATGCTATATATCAGGATACTGAGCTAGCTAGGCATATGGGGAGTAAGAGGGCTCTGCTCTTGAGAAATGTATGTCCTAGAAGAAGTGATGAGACATGTGCATAAATAATATGAATAGATGAGTAGAATACACAACAGGGACTTGAGGAATTCTCACTTGAGGAAAAGGGACTAGGTGGTTGAGGTTAATGTCCAAAGGCCTGCTCTCAGAGGCAGTAAAGTTTAGTGCCTGAGTCAGCCTGGATATGAATCCTTGTTTCACCACTTACTAACAAAGTCACTTTGCACAACTAACTTCATGTCTCCAGCCCCAGTTTCCCTATTTGTCAAATGGAAATAATCATAATACCTACTTTCTAGGGTTGCAGTGAAGATTACATAGGATAATCTATGAACCGTGCTTTGGCCACTGCTTGACATGTTGTTCCCAATCTCTGTAAGTGATGAGGCAGACTGGCACACTGCCTCACTTACCATCTCAACACTGCACCAGATGCCCAGATCAAATGTGCATGAAGGACTAGGTGCAGTTAAAGAAGGCCAAGATGGAAAGCAGGAGGGAAAAAGCAAGGTATCTCTGAGGAGGTGATATGGGGGCTGAATAGAGGGTTCATACAGGAAAATCAAAGCAATAAGGTTGAACAAAGAAAGAGAAAAATGAGAAAGGTGACTATCTTGGCTTTGGTGGTTGCCATTGATTTGAGTCTATTTTACGCAGACCCCCAGGTTTGTAGAGTAGAACTGTACTCTACAGGGGTTTCAAGGTTGTAACTTTTCAGAAGCAGATTCCTAGGCCTTACTTTGAGGCACCTTTAGGTGGGCTTGAACTGCCAACCTTTTAGTTAGTAGTCTAATCCTTATTAACCATTTGCATCACTTAGGAACTCCTATGTAGGCTTTGGTGAAGTTGGTTCCAAATCATACCAACCCCATATAGGGTGTCTGAGGCAGTAAATCTTTATGGGAGCAGAAAGCATCATCTTTCTCCAGAGGAGCGGCTGGTAGATTCAAACTGCTGACTCTGCAGTTAGCAGTCCAAGTCGTAATCCACTATACTATCAGAGCTCCTATCCTAGGCTTTACCCAATTTAAAATATGTCGTCTCTGTGGTGTAGTTATCAATGTCTCTTTTAGTCTGAATCTGTAACTCCAATTAATGTTGATAACACTAGTTTATCACAGGGGTTGTTTGAATACTATTATTTAGAAAATCGAAATGTTCATTTTTCCTACTGTTTCAAAATTATATCTCTAAGTTGGCCATTTAGGTTAAAACTACTAGGTGGGTGTAGAATTGGGAGCTTATTTTGCATAGTGATATAGTACTAATCAGTTGCCAGACGAATACCTATTAGTATTGTTTACTCATGTCACTGAATAATCTTATTCAGGATTGCTTGAAATGAGAACTGCTCATCTCAGTTCTGAAAGCCCAGCTCCCTCTCCAGTACAGTCGAGAGGGAACTATCCGCACTGGGTCTGGATAAGAGAAGGTGTAAGAAGATACTGATGGATGAACATGATTCAGCTGTGGATGTTAATAAAATTCATTGTTAATTGTGGAAAATGTGGAACTCTAATGTAGGTTTAAAACGAGCCCTCTCAGAAACAGGGAAGAGGGGAATCTCACTACCATCAACGAGGAAGAGCCAGGAGTGGAACATGTTCTCTGGGCCTGAGATCCCTGCACATTGAACCCACGTGGCTCAGGCAGAAAGCTGTGACAGGGGAGGAGCAGAGAGGAGCAGCAGCAGAACCAAAAGCCTGAAGTCAAGACAGAGCAATGGGCTGCCCAGCCCACCCAGCAAGTAACGCTGAGTGACTCTGGGCCAGAAGCTACCTTGTAGAGTGGCATGGTTCCAGGCGGGAGCTCGGTTTGCTGCCCCACGGAGCTAGAGCTGAACGCTGTCAAGTTAAGGCGTATGATGGAGAGGTGTGTCCTGTGGGCATTTTTCAGCAGCTGACTGGAAAGCTGTGCCCTGAGCATTATCCAATCCTGTAACCCAAAACTGCTAGCGTCCCTAATAAACCCCGTAACTGTTGGCGCAGTGTCTGAGTTATGTGTGGCCATTGCAATGAATTGTCAAATCCAGCTGAGTAGAGAATACTGTGGTGAGAGACGGTTGGTGCTTCATATCTTTGCATTATCCATAACAAAAACCCAATCCCACTAACACTGAGGCAGTTCCAACTCATAGGGACTGTATCGTGATTCCGAGGTTATAAATCTTTATGGAAGCAGAAATCTTTCTCCCGTGGAGCGACTGATAGGTTTAAACTGCCAACATTTTGGTTAGCAGCGTAGTGTTTGTCCCACAGTGCCACGAGGACTCCTTAACTTTCTCCTTTGGTGTATTAATAATAACACAAAAATACTAAGATTTTAATTTTTCATGTTAGTTGCTTTTTAGTGAGATTTAAATCTCGTGAAGAAATAGTTTTCATTGTCTAAGAAATACGACTTAACAGAAAATAATTCTCCTTTCTGCTTTCAAAAGTTCAGAATGAAATTCAAAGATTAATAATACAACCCGGCTAATTTTTTGACACATGTATCTGTGCCATAGGCATTCCCAGGTCATACCATCCTATTGTAAATAAGCCTTTATTTACTCTTTTAGGAACATTTTTATCTTGACATTTATTTTTTTATTTCCTAAAAAATGCCATATTTACTCTCTGGAAAAGACTAACAGAAGCAATAGCACTCACCTGTTGCTTCTTCATCAAAGCAAGCAAAAGCATTTCTGATGACATCTTCCGGATCGGTCCCATTTAGCTTCTCCCCAAACATCGTAAGGAACATGGTGAAATTGATGGGGCCTGGAGCCTCATTCATCATGGCATCGAGGTAAGAATCAGTTGGATTCTTCCCTATACAAATTCAAGTTTAACAGTTCAAGATGTAGAACTAATTCAATAAACATTTTGCTGTTGTTATGCTACCCAACGATTGTGTTTAGAGGTTACATCACCACTACTAGAAACGAGTTTTTCAAATGTTTGCATTAAAAACATTTTTAAAAACTCAGTTTTTGGCAACTTTTAAGATCCTTAAAGCAACACCATACACACACAGTCTGGACTTAGGTGAATGTACTTACTCACTGATACTTTCCCTTCACTATTTTTCATTAAAAAACAATACTTGAAATTATGAATCAGGCAATGCTGTATTATTATCTTGAATGTTGATAACACTAAAGTCCAGCGCAGGGGTTATTTCAACATTAGTTATTTAGAAAATAGAAATATTCCTTTTTCTTATTGTTTCAAAATATTATTTATAAATTGGCCATTTAGGTTAAAAACTACTAGGTGGGTTTAAAATTGGGAGCTTATTTTAAACAGTGTTATAGATATGAATACGTTGCCAGACAAATATCCCAAAGGTGTTTCATGTCACTGAATAATCGTATTCAGGATTGACAGAAATGAGAAACGTTCATCTGAGCTCTGAGAGCCCACCTCCCTCTCCTAGTACACTGGTGAGGGAACTATGCTGACTCTTCCCCTGGGAGAGGAAGACAGGGCCACAGTAAGAAGGAGCACGCTCTTGCTCTGGGTTACTTGGGAGCCCACATGGTGTGGTAAACGCAGAACGAAACTAAAGGTCTGGAATCCTGGGTTTCATCTCAGATCTGTCCCTGGCTCTGTAATCTGAGACGAAGTGGCAATGTGCTAAGGTTTGCTTGTTTTATCTGTAAAATGTCATGATAGAACCTGGTATCTCTAATGGGGCCTTCCAGCATGAATCTGTATGACTCTACATGGAAAGAACATCTGAAGTTAGATATTCATATCTAAGGGAACATCTCAATATCACACCCACTTAGGAGCTAAATATAGCTTGACAGTCAAATCTAGAATTCACAGTTTACATATAAATTTTAATCCTGGAAATCTAAGTAAAATTTAAATATCAAATTGGCATTTATTTCACTGTATTACATAATCCTACATCATTACACCTATTCAAGATATAACACAAACATTAGCCCCAAACAACATTCACTGAATAAGTAAAAGTAGCTAAAGTGATTTATTTTTCAACCTTCAGAGTTGACCTCACTCTTTTGTATCAATTTCTGGGGGTAAAGGGTGACCCTAAGTGAGTGTGGTGGTTCTGTAGACTATGCACTGGACTGAGAACCAAAAAGTTGCCAGTTTGAGCCCACCAGCCACTCTGCAGGAAAAAGATAAGGTTTTCGGCTCTCACAAAAATTTCAGAGCCTAAGAAACCCTATATTAGGTCTCTATGAGAAACCACTCAGTGACACTCAACAACAAGGCATCATAAGAACCCTAGGGTACCAAAAAGACACAGGCATTCAAAATGAATTGGTTTAGGCTAAGCCTCTATGGACTCCCTCAAGGTGTCCAATACATCAGTGGGCTTCAAACACTTATGGAAAAATGGAACTGAAAAATAATGGTAGCCCCTTATAGTTTGTGGATTTTAAAAATATTTGAGAAGGTATGAGATTTCCCCCAAACAGAACATCACCAAAGTAGGTCTCTTTTCAATAACCACTGCTGATTCAATAAATACTCAATAAGCAGGGTATAGGCCTGAGTATTCAATCTTTGAAACTAAATACTCAGCAAAATCCCACAATGGTCCTCTTGTGGTGATTTTCCCAAAAGAGTACACTTAGTACATTATTCCAAATGTGAAAACACTGGGATACAATCTATAATATTGTGATTCTACTTTCATACTAACTAAAGTGCGTGCTGCAAAATGCTAGCAACTGGTGGGTTTAGGTGACGTGTGTATGTAGGGGTGTTCATTTATATTGTTCTCCTCACATTCTGTATGCTTGAAATTTCAAAAAATAACATGTTAGGGGTAAAAGAATAAATGCAAGGAATAGTTTTGTAGATACTAAAAACAAAACAACAGAATTCCCTCTCTCTCTGCCCTCTGGCCTTCAAGTAGCCCTTTCTGGTTAATTATCCAAGCACATTCCCATAGGCAGAGCCTTGCTTGCTTTGACCAATTAAGGGCTACTTTGCTTGTCATTGCTTTATTCCCAGCTGTAAAATCAGTGCTGGTTCTGGGCAGAGGATGTAGAACCTTGTGAGTTCCTCTCTCCCTCACTTCCTTCCTCTTAAGATACAAAAAAAAAAAAAAAAAAAAATACCAACAAAACAAAAGAATAAAAACTAGTTATTGTCAAGTCGTTTCAGATTCATAGCAAGAGTCATGGATTGAATTGGCATCCCTCAAAAAAACATGTGTCCACTTGACTGGGTCGAGTTTCTCAGTGATTTGGCAGTTAGGTAACGCTGCATTCATTCATCCTCCATGATGTGATCAGCCAGTTAGTTGTAAGGGGATTATTAGGGTGGGATGCAGCACAGGCCTGATCCAACGTAAGGGAAGTGGCCCTAGGGTGTGCCCTGCATCACCTTTCTAGGAGATAAAAGGAGGGAGAGAAGTGAGCCAAGAAAGAGGGATTATTACCAAGAAAGAAGAGCTAGGAAGAGAACGCATTCTTTTGAATCATGGTCTCTACACTGAGAATCTCCTAGACCCAGGGGGAGGCAGATGCCAAGACATACAGAGACCTCCATGGAATGCCAAGCTCACAAGTACTGAAAGGAGATGACCTTCCTACAGTACAGACATAAAGCAGGAACCCTGAATTCGCACTTGTCATCTTCTAAACTGTGAGAGACCAAACGTCTGTTTGCTAAAGCCATGGAGCTGTGGTATTTCGACTACAGCACCACTAGAGAACTGAGACAGTGACCTATATACAGTGTAGAGCTGTTATACTGGTGTCTATATGGAAGTGGACTGCCATAGCTTTCTCCTATGGAACAGCTGCTAAGTTTAAACCACTGAACTTTCAGCTAAAATAACAAATGGAGGTTTAAATTCTCTATGTTTCTATTTTGTTTTATCATAAATAAAATTATTTATGTTCCTCCCTTTTGTTCCCTTTCCAATAAAACTGCCATTCCTCCCCGGAGACACCCATTACCACTCATGGCCATCACCTGGTGGTGGTTGGTGGTTAGGTGCCGTGGAGTCGGTTCCGACCCATAGTGACCCTGTACAGGGTTTCTGAGGCTATAAATCTTTACAGGAGCAGAAAGCCTCATCTTTCTCCTGCTGAACAGCTGGTAGTTTCGAACTGCTGACCTTGAGGTTCACAGCCCAATTCGTAACCACTACACTACCTTCCTTGCCGTCACCTAGTCTTCATTAAAAGAGCTCTAATGTTGAACTGCCAGGTTGGCAGTTCAAGCTCACCAGCCGCTCCTTGGAAACCCTATACAGGGTCACTACGGGTCGGAATCAACTTGACGGCACTTAATAACAAGTAGCATAGTAGTTACAAATCAGGCTGCTAACCTCAAGGTCAGCAGTTCGAAATTACCAGCCATTCCATGGGAGAAAGATGAGGCTTTCTGCTCCCATAAAGATTTACAGCCTCAGAAACCCTGTACAGGGTCACTAGGAGTCAGAACCGACTCCACAGCACACAACCACCACCACCACCAAGTCTTTATTATTAACCATATTATATTATATGCTATATTAAATCCTAAAGAGCTCTGGTACAGTAGTGGTTACAAGTCGGGTTCCAAACTACCAGTTGTTCTGCGAGAGAAAGATGAGGCTTTCTGCTCCCATAAAGATTTACAACCTCGGAAACCCTACGCAGGGTTACTATGAGTAAGAACGGGCTCCATTACACATAACCACCACCACCCCCAATTAAGCCCTGGGGATGAGTGCTGTAGGATAAACACTGGATTGCTAACTGCAAATTGGCAGTTCAAATACATCAGCCACTCTCAGAAACCCTATAAAAGGTCGCAATGAGCCAAAACTGACTTGAAAGCACACATCAAACTGTATTACCGATACTTTTTGTTTGAGATTCTGGTACATTGCTATATCTAGACACCCCTGGCTTTTTACGTACTGAGTACCCTTGTCATCGAGTCAATCTGCCTCATAGGACCCCATCCAGGGTCTGTGAGACTGTCAATCTTTACAGGAGCAGACAGAGATAGACGGTGGGTTCTACCTAACAGGAATGTATGGCTCCCTGGCCACGGCACCCACCAGGCCCCCAATCCTGGAAGTGTATCCCATCTTATGACTGACCAGGTAAGCTCCAATACGGCAACCTACACCCAGAAATCTCTCAATAGACCCTTTGAAACAAAAAGGAATATTTATAACACACAAAACATGAGTCTTAGGGAGATGAATTACTATTTTGGGGAAGTAGGCATATAAAGACTACAAAAGTTTACCAAGAGAAGCAAGCATATCATGCAGATCTTCCTTGTCGATGAAGCCGTCTCTATTCTGATCAATCATGTTGAAGGCCTCTTTAAACTCCTGAATCTGTGACTGGTCAAACATGGCAAACACATTGGATGTTGCGCGCTGAGGGCGCTTCTTGGTGGTCTTGGTCTTTGCCTTTTTGCTCGACATGGTGGCTGTTTAAATTCTAGAATTAAGAAGAAAAAAGCAAAAGAAAACACATAAAACACAAAGCAAAAAAGACTGCATTATATATAAAGTTGGAATCATGGTGAGGTGATGTGGAATAATGCTCTGGACTGCAAAATGGGTTTGAACCACAAGGTTGGCAGTTCAAGTTCACCAGCTGCTCCTTAGAAACCCTATACAGGGTCTCCAGAGGTTGGAACCAACTTGACAGCACTTAATAACAACGACATACATAACATTAATGAATAAAAACATCTTAATGTTGAATCATTATTTTAATTAAATAGGTTTGTATCTAAATTCCATTCAGTGTACCAGTTAAGTGGCTGGGGGTAGGGAAAGCACTTTTGAAAAAATATTCACACTTTCTGATTTAAAAATATACAGCTACAGTAATGAAGATATTACTTCTGGTTAACAACTGACACACAGATCAATGAAATAAAATTGAGAGTTTAGAAGTAAACCTACACATCCATGGTCAACTAATTTTTGAGAAGCGTGCAAAGTGCATTCAATGGGGAAAGACAAGTGTCTTCAATAAACGCTGTTGGGAAAACAATATTTCTATATGCAGAAAACTGAAACAGGATCCATGCCTCATACAATACACAAAAACAAATTCAAATACCTTAAGGACCTAAATGTAAAAACTAAAACTACAAAACTCTTAGAATATGATACAGGCATAATGCTGTTGGATGTGGGCTTTAATAATTTATTATCAACTATAATATTATAGAACCCTGCGTGTGCCGCTGTCGGGTAATTACTCAACCACAAGATTGGCGGTTCAAACTCACCAGACGCTCCTCAGAAGCCCTATATAGTGTCACTATGGGTCAGAACCGACTCGTCATCAATGAACAACATAATAACAAAAGCACAAACAGCAAAATACAAAACAGAAAACTAGATCATAAAATTTTAAAAGTTTTGTTTAACAAAAAACTTTTTACATTAAAAAGTGAAACAACGAGCTACCAATTGGGAGAATATCTTCAGACCATATATGTTCAATAAGACTATATGAACCAAAATATATATGCAACTTTGACAAGAAAAAGACAAATAATCCAATCATAGACTAGGCAAAGGGCTTGCGTATACATGTCACCAAAAAGGATATTCAAATGACCAACAGACACATGAAAAGATACTCAGAGACATGCAAAGCAAAACCACAGCAAGATACTATTTCCCTCCCACTAGATAGTGAAGATTAAAAACAGAAACAAAACCCAGAAAATAACAAATGTTGGTAAGGATGTGGGGAAAATGAAACTGTTATCCATTGTTGGTGGGAATACAAAATGGTATAGTTCTTATAGAAAATGATGACAGTTCCTCAAAAAACCTGAAACTAGAACTACCACATGACGCAGCAGACTTCACTCCTAGGCATATACCCAAGACTCTTTGAAAGCAGAGCCTCAAGCAGGTGCTTGTACACCAGTGTTCACTGCAGTATTATTCACAAGAGATGAAAGGTAGACGCAACCTAACTTCCCATCCACTTTTGTTATATATGGATAAACAAAAGTGGTATATATCTATATCTATATATATATAATAGAATTATAAATCAACCAGTAAGATAACTGGATGGAAAGACATTACACTATAAGTGAAATAAGTCAATCACAAAAGGACAGATAATGTATGATCTCATTTATAGAAAAACATAAAAATAGGCAAATGTACCGAGGCTGGGGTTTACTAGCGGTCATCAGGGAAGAGGGAGAGGAAAAGGGGAACCATTGCTATGGAGTACTGAGTTGAGGTCATGGCGCTATAAAAATCACATTGATTAACGGTAGAGTTGCATAATTAATTAATGTAATTGCAGTCAATACGTTGTACACCTGCAAAAAGTTCTGTGGTAGATATATTTACAACAATCACAAAAATAAATTAAAAAGAGTAAAAAAGTTAAGGTTGCTTACATAAAACCAAGTATCTCATGGGATTTGGTTTCTTGGTTTAGAGGTTTAGGGTCATGGTTTCATAAGCTATTCCAGCTAACTAGGCTAGTAATGTACTTGTTGTTGTTGTTAAGTGCCACGGAATCAGTTCTCACTCATAGTGATCTGTACAGGCTTTCCAAAGAGCAGTTGGTGAGTTTGAACTGCCAACCTTGTAGTTCAAACTGACTTGTGGTCCAGAGCTTGCCCTAAAGTGCCACAGTACTTCTGTTTTGCCTTCTAGTTTGTTGCACAGGTGCCTGGAATCTTAAAAGGCAAGCAGCCAAGGAGCAATAATTGGTCTCTATTCACCTGGATTAACAGAGGAAAAAGGAGAGTCAAGAACAGGAGTATATAGACTATTTGGCTAATTACCTCCATGAACAACTGTCCTCTGCCATGAGACCAGAACTGGATGGTGCCTGGCTATCACTCTGAAAAGCTTGATCAAAGACTGTATCAAAGAATTCTGATCAAAAGGGAGGAAATACAGAATAAACTTTCAAAATCGCATATAATCGAGACATTCTGGAACCATACAGGCTAGATGAGCTACTGAAACTATTGCCCTTAAGCCAAAATACCCTCTGAAGTCTTCTTAAAACCAAGTTAGCTAATAAAAGAAACAAATTAACAATAATAAAACCAATAATAAAATATCTACCTTGAGAATTATGGCCTTTAAAAAAGCTTCCTACATGGGATCAAATTGACAACAGCAACCCAAAGATGAGACAGGAACTGTAGGTGGCAGTGAGTTTATGTGAATGGGGAGAAACAACTCAGAAAATACGAGAATGGCTGCACAACTCCAAGAATGTCATCACAGTCCCTGAAGTTTACATGTAGAAATTTAAATTCATGTATGATGTTCTGTGTATAGTCCCAACAACAAAGAGCAATTAAAAAAATAATTTTTAAAAAATTCCTGGGACCAATTTTCATTTGATGGGAATGAATTTTAAAATATATTGTAACAGCTAGCATTTACTGAGTGTTTACCATATGCCTAGCACTGCTATGAAGGTATGGGGCTGAGTAAGGCTCCAAAGTTGGTCTCCTATGCTTTTAAGGATTGCCCATTTAATTCTCACATGAGTCCAGTTGTTGTTGTTGTTGTTAAGTGCTGTCATGTTGGTTCTGACCCATAGTGACCCTGTATAGGGTTTCCAAGGAGCCGCTGGTGAGCTTGAACCACCGAACTTGTAGTTCAAATGACTTTGCAATCTGGTGCATTAACTCACAGCGCCACACCAGGACTATTATTACCTACACTTTGTTAGCAATATAACCTAACTTGTTTTTTATCAGTAAAGCAAGATGTCTGTTTCAGTTCGAGTGAGAATTAAATAACATATGCAAAAAATACTAGTATGGTCAGCGCATGGCATAAAGATGTCTTTTTTTTTAAATCATCATCATCAGAACCTATTCCTCAATCTTGTGCCCTCTTCTAGCTACACCCCTATTTCCTTTACCTAACTTTTAGAATAGTCTAATATTCAACTGTCTCCACTTCCTCATTCCCCACTGTAATGGTTAAGGTTCTGGGTCATCTTGACTAGGCCAGATTTCCAGAGTTTTAGCAGTTGGGATGTGCTTATTCCCACAGTAATGAAACCTAATACAGGCAGAGGTAACTCTATGATGATGGGCTACGAGCAGCCCATCAACTGAAAGGATGTTTCCTCGGGGCTGTGGCCTGCTCCCAATATAATGGACACACAGGAAAGGGGTTCTCTCTCTCTTCTGCCAGGGATTTGGGGCACTGCAATTGTAAGGCATTTCTCTGATAATAAACTTGCTGTTGTTGTTGTTAAGTGCCATTGAGTCGGTTCCGACCCATAGCGACCCTGTACAGGGTTTCCGAGGGTGTAAATCCTTACAGGAGTAGAAAGCCTCATCTTTCTCCCGCGAAGCAGCTGGTAGTTTCGAACCGCTGACCTTAAGGTTCACAGCCCGATTTGTAACCACTACGCTACCAGAGCTCCTTGATAATAAACTTAGTATATATATTATATATAGATATATATAAGTTTTGCTTACATATAAGTTTCACTGGTTTTGCTTCTCTAGAAAACCAAGCCTGACACCCAATCATTTTTTGATTCATGCTGCCAACACTCTACTGAAAGCCACCAAAAATCCAAATATAAAATAAAATAGACGTTTTTCATTTTTAGTTTTAAGTAATAAAAATACTATCAGTTTTATAATTAGAAAATCTGGAGTTCAACTCTTTACTAATTACATTGTTGTTGTTGTGACGTCGAAGTCAGTTCTGACCCATAGCGACCCTGTATAGGGTTTCCAAGGAGCAGCTAGTAAGCTGGAACCACCGACCTTGCAGTTCAAATGGCTTTGCAGTCTGGTGCATTAATCCACAGCGTCATGCCAGGACTCTCCATATAACCTCTGAAAACTCACAGACAACAGAGAATTAATTTTCCAATCCGAAACCTTATTCAATCTTCACAGCTGCCCTGAAGTAGGTACTTCCCATTGCTGATAGGCCAATTTAGATTCATGGCCACCCATGCTTCAGAGCAGAACTGTGTCCCACAGTTTTTAATGATTATGTTGTTGTTAAGTGCTATCTTGTGGGTTCCAACCCATTTTTTAAGTGCCATCAAGTCAGTTACAACTCATAGCGACTCAAACCGACTCACAGGGTTTCCAAGGAGCAACTGGTGGGTTTGAACCTCTGACCTGTGGTTCACAGTCTAGTGCCACACCAGAATTATATTCTTATGGAAATAGATCACCAGCCCTTTTCTTCCATGGCACTGCTAGATAGATTTGAAGTGTCAACCTTTTGGTTAACAGCCAAAAGCAAACCATCTGCACCATTTAGGAACCTCAGATAAGTATTCTGTTGTTGTTAGATGCCATCAAGTAGATTCTGATTCATAGCAACCTATGTACAACAGAACAAAATGCTGCCCAGTGCTGCATCACCCTCACAACCGTCATTAAACCCGCAGCTGCCACTGTGCTGTCCACTTCGTTGGAGTTTTCTTTTTCACTGACCTTC